TATCGATGTCATTGCGGGGAAAGCCCTGGGAGTCGACCAACGGCTCATTCAAACCTACATTTTGCTGGAAATACAATTCAAATGTTCAACATTTTAAGCCTTAATTGATGTGTCATTTGTGACATACGCTGTCGAGGATTGATTGCCACTCTTTGATCTCATTCTCCATTTTATTCCTCTGAGTATTCAAATCGAGTAATTCTTTGCGCATAACTTCCTGTCGTTGCGTATCCGCAGCCGAAGACATCACTATTAATACCTATTAATCCAATTAATGGCACAAAACAAATCACTTATCGCTTCACGCGTTTAGCAAATTGTTATTTGTGTTGACATTCACTCAATGTTGAGATGATTTGCAAATTGCAATGAATTGGCATAAAATGCACACAACTTTCAAAACACTGTTTTGTTTGCAAAAAGCATTAGAAAACACGGCTTTTAATGCCATCTTTGGGTCCAATGAAGCGCTCGTTTGGCACCAATTGTTATGCGAAAGGGAGGCATAAATAACGGCAACGAATCACACATTCATTGAACGAAACATAGGGTTAGACAACGATTTGACAGTGTTTTGGGGGACAAGTGTTGGGGACGTAAGCGATGTTTGTCTGAGCGGAGGAGTGTGTGTGCGAAGAGTGGGCGGAGTATTGGTTTGTATGGGTTTGTGGTGTTGAGAGGCGACGGCTTTTCTCACACATTGAATGCCAGCGAAAGTGTTGTGTGTTTTGAGTCCTCACTTGTCATTAAAAAGCTATTCATTAGTCGACAAAAGCAAACACTAATCGTCTTATGAGGCGATGCCATGAGTTGTCGTTGTGTTGTGTCCGCTAAGAATCGGTGGATGAAGTGAGCGCCGGACCCACTGCTGGTCGACTGGAGTGTGTGCTGTGGAGGCAGTGGTGAGCAAAGGTGTGGTGCAGTGGTGTGTGTGTTGTGTCTGTCGGCCATTTCATTGGATGTCTTTCATTTCACTCATTCGGAGTGACATTTGATGACAGCTATAGACTGCACACAACACCAAAGCCAGACATACAGCCAAACATCCAAAGCAGGTATTATTCAATTGTCTACACATTTATATCTCTCACTGCCTTTTCTCTGCCACCGATTGTTAGGCTATTATCCGTTAATTGATATTTGATTTTCTCCACTCATATCCACTTTCTTTCCAATCATTTCATCATTAAATTTATTGAAACTTTTGTTTGTTTTACTTTTTTTGTTTACCGTTTTATCCAATCGTTTAGTTTTTTAATCTTTTTGTTGTTTTGTTTTGTAATCATTTTTCAACTTGTATTTGATTTAAATTTTTGTTTTGTTTTTATTTTTTTCAAAATGATTTATTTTACAAATAAAATAATAACTTATAATTAAATATAAATTATGTTTAAAAACTTAAGACAAATGCTAAACAAAATTGAAGGATATTTTGAAACATATTATCAAATAATACTTAAGGCTATTGTGTTTATGACTGAAAATTTATTTTGTTTTAATTGCAAACATTAAGAAATGATTTCACAGACAATTACTTTTTTCCTAACGTTTTAATAGTTTTATTGATTTATTTGTTGAAAATATTTACAAAATTTTGGAAAAGATTTAAAGATTAAAATATTTGCTGAAAAATGTTTCCATTATTTCTCTTTTTTATTCAAAGAAAACATTGTAATTAATATAAAATTTTGGTACAAGCTTTTAAATTGAGAAAAAAAATTTAAACTCATATTTTAATAATTAAATTAAATTGTATTTAACTGTTAGTTCCGTGTTTTTGTTCACTTATGTTAGTTTAAAAACGTGTGATAATTAATCGCAAACTATATTTGCAAACAATAAAAGCAGTGATTATTTAAATTGTAATTTCAAATGATTCACAAAACGGTGTGTTATTGTCGTAAACAGTGATAATCTGATGACTAATTCA